GTGAATGATATCGTTTAAACGACTCTGAACGTAAGACGCCACGTAAAAGTCTAGCGCACCTACAAATCGAGGAAGAAAGCAAGCTAAACTAATTTAAGCATTAAAATACTTAAACCCAAGGAAGACTTATATTCACATTTTATATTTAGTTTTAATTTGGAAATTAAAAAATATTTGATCAAATAAAATATTTTTTAGGGATTATTTTGATGAGTGGGCATTAATTATTTAGGGATTATTTAGTTTTTAGGCATATTTTTTAGGGATTATTTAATGCCCTTACCCAGGTTTAATAAAATATTTGATCGAATGAGTGGAAACGATATTTGATACGTGGCGTCATTAATCGAATGAGTAGAACCAATAATACTCCATATTTGATACGTTCACTAAAATGGCTGATAAAGACTTTAAAGTAACTAAATCATGTATTTAATATGCATTTAATATATTGCCCGATAAAAATATTTGCAATGTAGTAGCCAAATGTTATAAGAGAATGTGATCTTTAGTGAAACTAAACATTGTCCCAAATGGTGCAATTCCCATCAAATTAGCATATGAATATAAATTCATCGACAACACATAAAATTAGTCTGGAAATAAAAGGAGGGTTTGTAAGAGTACACAAAGAAACTGCAAACGGGAGTAGGTATTGTTTTTACATAACAGAGTATTAATGTCAATTATACTTTAATTTGAATTTTAGAATTACGAATTTGAAATAAGAAGCAACTAAAAGAGGGAGAAGGCCGCACATCTAGGTTAGGTTAATCAGAGGTAAAAGTGCAATCTTCAGAGAACAATAAGCTTAAAGTCATATTTTGAAATTTAGATAATGTTTTAGTCTTATTTAGGCCAATTCCTTTTTATTTTTCTTTATATTTTATATTTCCCTATTTTTTCACAATAACTTTGCCCCATAATTGATGAGATTAATCAGTGAACTTACTTAGCTAAATACGAAGATTTAGAAAGGAGCTGAGTAAAAAAAATATAGATGGTGAAATTATGATAATAAGAAAAGAGAAAAAGAAAGAAGAAAAGACAAAAAAGTAACAAGGAGGGGGGGTGAAAAATAAATTATAACAAAGGTAGAATGAAGAAAAAGATCTTTTTTTATCGTAAGGCGCTTATATCATTAAAATAGCAATCAGCAGGAGTACAAAAACATGAAAGGACCGCATGTAGCCATCCGCCCATGGCCGAGACTCTGAGTTAATCACCTTAATCAAAGCAATATAACTCGCTAGACCGAAATTGGGCAAATTAAAGCTAACGATGCCTACCACAGCCCTTCCACCCTCCAAACCTAAAACACGAGTTTCACAGATAACAGGAAAATAGAAACAAAACACAAAGGAAAAGAAATAAATTAAGAACATGTGAAGAGGATGCAGAAAATGACACTAATAATTGTTCGGGAAGGAAATTTTACAAAACAATCTCTTCTAATAGAATAGGAAATATAATACATATATATGGGGGGAGAACAAAAAGATGAAAAAGGAATAAAGTAGTGCATAGAGATCAAAATAAAGAGAAAAATAGCAAGGAGAAAAAAAGAAACAATGAAAGTTTTTTTTTTGCAACAAAAAAAGAGATTTTTTTTATTTTAAAGAAAAACGGCAAATTATATTAATTTAATCAATAATTTATAATTACAACCAGCCAAAAACTCAAGATCCACCAACTATCTTTAATAAAAAAAGTGAAAAAACAGTTTAAAGCGCCTCTCTATCAGCTTTTAAAAAAAGTGTTTTTTAAAGAATTAAAGTAGAAGTAGACATTTTTTCATCAAAGCAGGCCTCTATTCATATCAAAAGATTCAGGATCATTATATCAAGCAAAGGGAAAATAAAACTGACACCAACTGAAACTCCAACAACTACGACTGTAACCCTATGGTGAGACTTTGGGACGGTCACCCCTGAAAGAGCAACACGAATCGCTAACCATGTAGTGGGCTTGACACAGCCAAACCTGTTCTCATAGATCCAACCATACCCAATGACATAAAGAGAGGCTAAAAACTCAAACAAATTGTCAAAACCAACAACAAAGATGAACACAAGAAAACAAATGACAAACAGATAAAAATTACTAGGAAAACTTTCACGGACTCTAGCACCTCGTACAACCAATGGTGGTGGTTCAGGCGGAGGTCGGACCGTCGCTCGATTGATACCCTCTTTCAGTGGCGTACCCCGTATGACCCAAATCCATGCCATCGAATGGAGCGTTCAGCCTCTCCACGCTAATCATGTCCCGATCATCCCTACGTCTCTCTCGCTTCTTCCACCATCTTCTCGCTGCAACGATCATCCATCCCGAGCTACGTCCAAACCACAACAATCCGACGCAGTGCTGCGTCGATTGAAAGAAACGCCGCACCAGGGCGGCGAAGTAAAAACCCTACGCGAGAGATCTCACTAGGGAAACATTGACTGAACTTCAATCAAGAAAGATCGAAATCAAAAATTACCTCGCAACGGCTCTCCCTAAGAGCTCTCTACGATCGTCTCACTATCTGCAAATGCGGCAGTGTAGAAGTAGACATTAACAAACATTTTTTTCGATTTATTTTAAGTTAAAAGGGTTTATTTTAAGCAATAACTAACTTTCCCTTCGTAACACAAAACAACACTTATCAACGCTTCCTATAACTCCATCCAAAAAGGTCCTTAGTAAACCTCCGTCCATTCATTCAAGACTAGTAACTCACCCGTGCGATGCACGGGATGAAAAAGATCATATTGAAAACTGCAAACCGGCTTGAATTTGGTTTGAAATTTTTTGACACTCGGATTAATTTATTTTTAGACAGCTTGAATAGAAATTACCTAAAAAAATTGGAATTGATTTGTTGGAAATTCTAGAGACTAATATTTTTGTTATTGTGTGTTAGTATTTTCGAGCGATAAATATAAAATGATGATGTGTTGATTTTTCGTTCAGCTTTAACTGGCGCTATCCTATCCCAAAATATTAAAAACACGACTTGGACCGATATATGATAGTCCTTGTTCTAGTTTTAATTTTCATAACCTTGGATTTTAAGGTTGTTCTTCAGGTTTACCAATATCCGATCCAGACCCAACTCTGATTCCCGCTATTTAAAGGAGTGTTTGCAAACGATTTTAAAAAGTGCTTTTCAGCTTATAGCTTAAAACGTTGAATTTGATGTTTTCAAATCCCTGTTTCTACTTAAATTAAGCACTTAAAAGCTAAAAATTGAAGTTGGTATATGGCTACTTCTAACTGCTTCTTGGTTTTTTGGTAAATAATTGCAACTTTAAGGATAATTATTAGATTAGATATTTCAATTGCACCCAAAACCACCCTCCTTCATCTCTCTTGCTTCAAAAGACTCCCAACCAACCTTACTACTTCTCTATTGTCGACCGCTCCGATTCCCCATCCATGTGTGTGTTCTCCTCTCTTGGTCCAGATTTAGCTGAGGAATATATATATATATATATATATATATATATATATATATATATAGAGAGAGAGAGAGAGAGTTAATTCTGCTCAAACTTGGTGTCACCGGTATAGCGATCGGAGTTGCAGCAGTCATTGCATCCCTAGTCGGCCGATCCAACTCGACCAGAATTACTTTGTTCACTTCTGTTTTCACTTCCTCGTGCTAATTCTTTTCCTCTGCTATAATTATCTTCCTTTCTTATTATTCTGTCCACTTCGAGTTGGGTAGGTGCCGGTGAACTACTGCCAAGCTTTTTTTAATATTTAGGTAGTATTCAATTTAATTTGTATAATGGCATTTTTGTATTCTAGTAAAATACTACTTAAAAATCATTTTTTATCAAACACTCCAACTTTTACATTTTATTTAAAATTATTTCTGTTACCAAACACTACCTACTTTTATTATAATTTATTTTTCCAATAATATCTTTAAAAAAAGACTTCTAAAAAGCATAAGCAATCGCAAAACCCCATAAATGCAATTATTTAAAAATAAATACTTCGTATCTGCCTTATGAAATACTCATGTCCCACAAAGCTTTGACATATTTGACGTTTTCAGTTCAAAGGCAATAAACTTTCAATAATAGTTTAATTTTGATTAATACGGAGCATATTTTTGAAAAATGATACTCCATGTATTTTATGCTTTCATAATTCTATATAAAAATACAAAAAATAGGGAGTATACGCCATATTAAAAATAGATATGCGGATTATTACGGACCAGACTGACATTATCGATTTTATATAATAAAAAAATCATACTCGGAGTACTATCTAGATGACATTATTAAATCTTTCAAAAAAAAAATCTAGATGTGTCATCCGACTGTTGTCCCGATGGTTCTATACCACACATCATTTATGTCCTCACCATATCACGCTCATCTCCCTCAACTCTCGTTTTAAAATTAGGATGGAAGTGGGAAGAAGGGTTGCGAAGGACAAAGTCATGGAAGTAGCATGAATCCGAACTTGAAGAATCTGTGGATGCAGCCGTACGTATAGGTCAGTCGACTCGCAGTAAAGATCTCATGACTGCCTGTGGCATCTCCAGAAGTGGGAGCGTTTCCAATTCAATCCACGAAAGAAATATATTGCTTGTTTGCTATTTGAGCTTGAAGGCCGAATTGATGTGAGAAGTCTACCGCTGCAGCGATGCTTTTATACTCGAACTTGAACGTATCCCATTAGTCCATTACCGTTCGCACCGCCCTTTCCTCCAATAGAAGCAAAGGAAGGTAAACAACAATTAACATCATGCTCACCGCCTTTTAGACCAATAGAAAGTTAGAAACACACCAAAGTTCAGCTGAAAATATGTGCACCTCTCTTTTGGCCAATAGGACCAGCCTAATAGTATACCTCATATCTGGAACGAACTAATGTCTTTAGGCTGATTGCAATGCATGGGGTGAAAATCCCAAATGTGAGACTTTCACCCCAAAATGACTGCAACCGGGAGAATTTTTCGTAGAGGGGGGAGTGACTGGGAGTCTGCAGAACCCTGGGGAGCAATCTGTGGCCGGGAAATTGACTCCATCTTGGAGAAAAGTAATGGGCTGGCCCGCAAGATGCCTGACAAACTGAATACCAAAGCAGTGGAGTTAATTGGTGCGTGAGAGAGCGTGAGTCTTGTGGGAGTGTTGCCGACGAAAAAGCCAAAAAGGCCGGCTAGTGGATAGGTTGTACGTATGAAAAAGTGTAGTGGGAAAGAGCTGGATTCTTGGTTCATTTTTGAAGCTGGGATTGAATCAAAAAATTGGTTTGGTGGATCGGACGGCCACGGTTGTGTCAAACACATACAAAACAATATAGGTACATCCAAAGGCTGGTAATTTATTTTATTTTTTGGTATTTTTTTTAACAATGGACTGGATTTCTATATAAACATTACTCATACCTTCATTTCAATACACCTTAATCATCATTCTTCATCTACTTTATATTTGATTTTTTTAGCAAATTTGTAATACTACTTAATAACATGTCTTCACAAAAGAGGGGTTCTAATTGGAGTTACAATGAAGATGTATTCTTGTGTAACTCTTGGGTGTCTATTTCTGAAGATGGTGCAGTCGGAATCAATCAAGCAGGCAATTCATTCTGGTCCCGGGTTCACAATCTGTTCTGCGAAAAGGCAAATACGATAGTTCGAACTAGGGAGGCTGTTGAATCACGCTTTAAAGTTATGAATCATCAGTGTTCTTTATGGAAGAGAAGTTTGCAAAAAGCAAATGCAACCCAGAGAAGTGGATCCAATCTGATCGATGTGGTATTTTAAATTATTTCCTCCCTAATTTTATTGCAACATTTTATGTATTACATGAATATATTATTCATTATTTCTATTTTACATTCTATTATAATTATGTATATTACTAATATTATATATATTACATTAATATATAGTATATAGTATAATATATATATGTACGTACGTATATATTATGTATATGTATATTACTATATATATGTATTATATGTATATAGTATATAGGACATGTGTATTAGTACGTATTATTATAGTATACTCCATATATATGTAATACGTGCAAACATATGAGTACATATTATTATATAGTATATATATTTATATATATTATATATGTAGTACGTACATGTATATTAATGTATTTATATATTAGTACGTATTAATAATGAATATATTATTATATTCACACATTGATATTTTAGTACTTATCAAGTAATATCTAATAAATGTAGCAAAAATATTACTACGTATCATGATATCTAATTTGTATATATACATACTACATATAAATGTAGCAAATATATCTAATAAGTGTTTTATAGCAAGATTTAATTGGCATCTAATTCATAAATGTGTTTTTGTAGACAATTGCCGCACAAACAATCTTTGTAAATGACAATCATAACAAGGCCTTTAAGTTTGACCATGCCTGGCATATACTTCAAGCATGCCCAAAGTGGTATCATCAATTTGATACTGCTCCCACTTTTACGCCCATACCTTCTGTCACTCCCGATACGTTTGTTGGAGGAAGTAGTGGTTCATCTCCTTGCGATGGTATAAGTGGTCCTCTTCGACGCCTCGAGGGTCGTGACAAACAGAAGGGAAAGAAAATGGTTAAAAATAAGAATTCAAGGACGGACCCTGTGATGCTCGAGTACATGGAAAGAATGGTGAAGCAAGACGACCTAATGGAAAAGAGAAGAGAGGAGCGGTATGAGGCGGCTAAGGTGAATGCTGATACGACTACAAGACTAAGACATATAGATGTCGTAACCATGGATCTAAGTCAATACTCACCGAGAAAGCAGAAGTGGCTAAGGGAACAACAAAATGCCATTTTGGGATATGATCAAGATGCCCCGAGTACTGATGCCGCCACTTCTGCGTATGGGGATGACTACTTTCCTACTTTTGACTAGGGCATGAATGGTGTAGTCTTTCAGCTTTCATTTTTGTTAATTAATTGCAGTGTATTTCAGTTTTCCTTTCTGTTATTTAATTCCGATGTATTTCAATTTTCGTACTAGTTATTTAATTCTAGTGTATCTTGGTTTTTGTTATTTAATTCAATTTCATTTCAGTTTCATTATTTAATTCAGTATATTTCAGTGTTCATTATTTAGTTTAATTGAATTTCAGTTTTCATTATATAATTCATTATTTTTATAAAAAATGTACGAATAAAAACCACTTACTTAGATGAAGATAGTACCCACTTGCTTAGTCCTTTACTAATTTCATAACATCTCTAAAATCTTATAAGAGTGAATAGAGGTAAGGGTATTATAGGCATGCAAAATGTGTTGGTGGTAAACTTTAGAATTATGTAATTGTACATCATTCTTTAGATATTGTACACGTTATTAATGTCGTCACTTTGCTATTATTCTTCCGTTAAATGTCATCCTTCCGTTTAATGTCAACTCTACCGGCCATTATATACCTTGCTGCTCACTCTAATTAATGTTTTCTCCAATACAACTATTTAGACGAAGGAAAAAATCAAACATACAATTTACAAACTCTGAGTCACAGGGTTAATCTCCCGTAGATATGGATAATTGTGATCGAGAATGTAGACAATTTACAAAAATTCATCACTCCGATTAATTCTCCCCACAGCCCGCTGGTTGCTGAGCACTGCCCCCATAGCTTCTTCCTTGGCGAAGTGAGATACTATTCATGCCAAGAGTTTCATTTTCAGCTTCCTCGCATAAGTGCAACAATCCATTCCAAGTGTAAAAACTATATTTCTCGTCTACCTCATAGGATAGGAATTTTGCTCAGAGTACATGTTAATAATGGTTGACTAAATAAGAAATCGTTTTTTGAGGCTGAACTCTTTAGTTGTAGTGTATAAATAATGCGGAGTAATGAAAATGGCCAAAATATTCTCATAGAGGAAAACTATTAATGGTTTCTTAAATAAGAAAGGTTTATGGTCATGTAAATAATCGTTTGCTAATTGATAAAAACATTTAATCAAAGCAAAGCACTGTAGGTTGAAATGGTTGTAGGGGATTACAAATAGATCTCAGGATAGGGATTGAAATAAATGGTAATCATATCATCTTTGATGAGGTTTAAAATTAAACCTCTTGTTCAATCTACCCGCACAACGCGCGATAGAAAATATAGACTTCTTTTGCCCCTTGCTCTCAAATAATGTCGCACACTATTGCCAAGAACTCTTCTTCCCAAATGGATATTCTGAATTCTTCTGTCATAGTCAACGCGTGCATGTCATTTCTTTCTTCACTTTTATTTGAACCACATGTCCCTACTTAATACTTAATAAGTCCCTATTTTCACTTGAACAATAAAAATACTTATATTGCATATTAATGAATTTTATACGAAGTATTTCTCTTGATCTTCATTTGCTATACCTTTCATTTCATATCTCGTGTACTATCGCGTGAAGCCCCCCGTACTATACTAGATATTCCTCATTGTACTAATGATACTTGATATTATAGAATTAGAAAATCAGACTCTAACCCATATGCGGGTTTGCATTTCTTTTATTTTGTTTTTAGATCCTCTTTCATATGAAGGAACATTAAATATTCTAATACTAAAGGTAATCACATGATATCAACATACAATATACATATTTCTCAATAAAAAGTACGTTGGGCATTTTAATTTATGCAATCGCGCAACGCGCGTATTTAAAACTAGTATTCAATAAGTACCAACTTGGTTGTTCATTGCACATGCAATTAGTAGACACTTGGTATGTCCTTTCACATCTAATAAGTACACACTTGTTTTTAAATATCTTGCCACTTGCTTGATATTTGTATATAAATAGATGCCTCACTTCACAATATTCTCACACTCAATCCTTCTCATTATCCCCCTCATTTCTGTATACACTCTAATATACTCCTTTAGACCAAATGGAGTGGTGAGGTATTAGGAGTCCAAAATGTTAAAATGACATTTTTGGACTCCTAATTTCATACATTGGTGGAGGGTAGAGGGTATTAAAAATGGGTTTGGGGAGGGAAGGGGTTAAATTTGGAGGAATTTTGGACAGCCAAAAAGAAAAAGGAAAAGAAAAGAAAAAGGGGAGTGGGGCATACCTGCTGTGCGCAGGCGGGGAGCAGGGGCTGCTCTTCGAATTAATTTCCAGCGCTGACATCATGATGACGTCAGCATGATGTCAGCATGCACTAGCAACGGCTGTTTTTTTTTTTTTTAAAACTTTTGATAGATCCAACGGCTATGATGATCTTGGCACTGTTTGAACGTAAAAAAAAAATAATGAAATTTATTTTTTTACATCGAAATGTGTCTTTTTTATTTTAAGATTAATCAGAGAAAAAATTAAAAGGAAAACATTACTTATAATAATTTAATTAATGTTTTACTAAATTGATATGTAAAAAAAATGTGCAGAATGTATTTTATTGACGGTGCTGGAATGCAGAGAATAGGAGTCAAAACACTGTTTTCATATCGACGGAGTCCATTTTTAACATTTGGACTCTTGCACCACTCCAAATGGTCTTACCATGAGTTATTATCCCGATATGTCAGCAGCCTTAGATGAGTATGATGATTGTGAGGCCGACGCTCACCGTATGAGAATGGGTGTTATGGCGACACTTATTTCTTCAAGCTCAGGTGGTCATCGTGAGTACATTGACCGAGGCAGGGAAGATGGCCACCAACGTTTGATGGATGACTATTGGAGTCCAAATCCAACTTATAACGCCCGCATATTCCGACGTCGTTTTCGTATGCAAATGCCTTTGTTTGATCGAATAATGAATGATGTGGTGCGAGCCGATCCTTTCTTTGCACCAAAAAAAGATGCATTGAATAAGGTATCACTTTCTCCTCACCAAAAAATTACTAGTGCCATATTCATGCTAGCAAATGGGTGCTCTGCTGATTCATTGGATCAGTTGTGCCGTCTAGGGGAGAGCACGACTTTGTCGTGTTTGAAGAAATTTTGTAAGGCAATTATTGGAACATATGGTTCTTGGTACTTGCGAACACCAAACCCCAATGACCTTCGTCGTCTTCTTGAGAAGGCTACAAAAAGAGGTTTTCCCGGCATGATTGGTTCCATCGACTGCATGCACTGGGAATGGAGGAATTGTCCTACAGCATGGGCAGGACAGTTCACTGGGCACAAAGACAAACCAACTATTGTGCTTGAGGCCGTAGCTTCATACGACACATGGATATGGCATGCATTCTTCGGCACAGCGGGTTCCAACAATGACCTTAATGTACTTGCATGCTCTCCAGTTTTTGATGCTGTTGTTAATGGATGTGCTCCTCAGGTAAATTACATGGTCAACAATAACGTCTATAATCAATGTTATTATTTAGCTGACGGAATCTATCCCACATGGGCTACTTTTGTTAAAACAATTAGTAACCCTGACACCCCAAAAAAACGCCTCTTTACTGCTAAGCAAGAGGCCTATCGCAAAGATGTGGAAAGAGCGTTTGGCATTTTACAAATGCGATGGGCTATCGTACGAGGACCCGGCCGAATGTATCAAACACAAACATTACGTGATATAATGTTGACATGCATTATTTCACACAACATGATTGTAGAAGATGAGTATGAAGAAACTGATGATGATGATGCAACTACTCAAGACTATAGTGCACAATATGACTATACTGTTCCACACATTCAGTTTGATCTGAATCACGATGCCCCGACTTTGCACGACTACATGATGCGGCATAACCGCATCAGGAGCACTGCAATGCACACTGCTCTTAAAAATGATCTCGTGAATCATTTGTGGGGCCATCACGGGAATGCCGTGTAATGGGTTACTTTTATGTTGTTTATGTTTTTTCAATCGTTTCAGTTGAATAATGCTACTACTGTTAGTAGCTTTTTCTATTTTTGCAATGCATTAGGATTTCTTCCTCTTTTTTTAATTATCGTATTGAATATTATGTGTGTTTCTAATAATTGATTTTTGGTATTTTAATTTTACAACATGTGTTTCAATTGATTTAAATTTAATATTAATCAAGTTCATGGTATATAAAATGAAAAATTAATACTATAGAAAGTTGGAAAACAATTAATAGTTTTAAATTTATTTCAAATTGAACTCAACTACGCATTTGTAATACTTACAAAAAAATTATTTCACATTTTTTATTTTTTTACATCGGAATGTTTGAGTTTTTAAACAATAATTATTGGGTAAAACAAAAATAACACATAAGTGACGTGTAATAAAATATCTAAGGATATATGCATTTAATTTTAAAAAAAAGGTGCTGAGTGGATATATTGACGGTGCTGGGTTGCAGAGAAAAACTGAATTGACTGAGTGAATACGTATAAACAGGAGGGGATTAGATTTATTGACGGGCTGGGTTCTGTTAGTCTTAGGCTACATTTTTTTGTATTTGTTTTGAGCCATAAAAAAAAGGACTGAAGTTGACACTTCTTAGCTGGAACTTTTTCCTGCAATTTCTTTTCCAAGATTAAGATAGATAGATATGGTGGGAACCACCCAAACAAGATATGGCGCCGTCGACTGGGAGACTGTACGAGGTAGGACGCTCTACCATTCATCGCAAGTGGGTGTTTCTTTTTTAAGTGATAAACTTTTTAAATATTTTTTATTGTGCAGCTAAAAAAATCAAATTTCAGGGTTTATGCTCAAACCTCTTGAAACTGGTTTTCGAATTTGATGTATTTGTTTTTGAATGTACAGTTTCTAGGTTTTAGGTTGTTGCGCTGTTAGTTACTACACTAACTTGAATTTTAAACTCAAATTTAAAAATAGAAAATTTAGACTATATGGATCCTCTGATCCTTTGTTTGGTCCTATTCTGCTTCTTTTGAAGAGGTGTGTTTTTGTCTACAATGTTTGTCAAGTATATATTTTGAATTCTCGGCCATAGCATATAATTTTTGTCTACTGTGACTTTAATCACAGTAGTTTGATGGCTTTCCCCTTATGTCATATATTGTTTGGTGTGAAGTCTGCCTATCAAATTAATGATAACGTTTGAATGTGAATTAATTATTTTTATGAGGGTTTTCTTATAGAAAATCTGACTTGGTTTTTTAACAAATCTTATACTGTAATTGCCACATGTTATCCAACAGAATTTTCAATATAGCGATGAGAATTGGGCGTAGGCATCTCCTAACAGCTCTGTAAGGAGTTATAAAGCAGCTTGTTTCTCTATCCTGCCGAATCAATAATTGAAATATTAGCTGAAACTTTATTTTTTGTAAGCTTTTCCTCTTTATAGTCTCTAATAGCTGTTTAGGCTCAATATGTTTTTTTCAATTGGAAGGTTTGTTTTGTTTCATATCAAATGGAAGTAAAATTTCTATAGAAACTCACACTAAAGTGAGAAGCTAGTCCTTTGTCCTAGCTATAAGCTATCTAATTCACTTTTTGGAATTATTATGTGATAATTATCATGGAAATCCTTCATATATTTGTATATCTACTACAAGTGTTTGAAAGAGTTAAACCAGATCATTTATGTTATAGCTTCTTAGGTTGGCGTTGGAAGTAGATGCCATCGTTTTTTTTTTATAATTATTGCTAAATGCTAATTAAGACATAAAACGATATCGATGAAGCATATGTCGTACAAAATGATCACCAATAAGGCATATTGGAGGATTGATCATCATTACCTAATGTTAAATTTTATTTGTTGGCTTATTCTACTTATATCAGCTGAATAAGAAAAAATAATCTGGATAAGTATTAATGTAGCCTTTGAATCAGGGGCGGGACCAGGGGGTGAGCCGGTGCTGGCTCCCCTCTTCACCGGAAATGTTAGGGTATATATACATATTATATCTACAGTGCCCCTGGTCTTCTTCTTCGCTACCCCTTCGGTTTTCCGTCGACTGTTTATGCAAGAATAATGAACTAAACTAAAAGAATGGGAATCAAACAATTGAAAATCAACAACGGCGAAACTAAGCTTTCTCTTGGGAATAATATGAAATAGTATTAAAAATAAGCTTTCGAATACAGAGTATTGCTTTTGTTGTATGCGTATCAACTGTCCTCCTCGAAATGATGTATATATACATGGTCTATTCCCTATCCGTATTTTGCCTAACTGCCTTGTTAGTGGCCGCACCCATCATCCGAGAGTTGTGGGGCTTTCTCCTCAAGTATTGCAACTAATATTCAAAATTCAAATTGGTTCTTATCTTGACCAAATCGGTGGACTGCTTGTGGACTTGGCTTGCTAGACTTCGTATGTTGCTGGACTTCATAGCTTGGACCGAACAGATCTTGGGCCCAACTCTTTAGTAAATCCCGGGTCTAACAATGCCCCCATTCATGAGGATAATGAGAAGGCGCGAGAAACGAAAAATTGTCATCATGAATTTGAAATACCGAGTTATCCTTCCCAATGCTACTCAGTTCACGCGTAAACCAAGAAACCTACTTGGTTTAGATTTCTCCACCGCTCCAAATTCTCCCATTAGTACACTTGAGGACTCTTCCGTCGGTTTTCTCCATTCCAAATCAAAAGTTCTTCCTTGCCACCGCCATGGAACCTGTGTCCTTCTCCAGCCAAGGCGTTTTTGAAGCAAAGAACCTTAGAGCCGGTGACCTGCGTGCAAAGGACAAAGAAGAAATTGAATCGACGTACGGCTTCCCCGCCTCCATCAGAATCCGATACCCTTCCAGATCAGAGAGAGTAGACTGGGTGTCCCCTGGCTGGGTTAACTTCTATCAGTACCCTTTCAAGAAACTTGGGATACGTTTCCCCTTCTAAGACTTGGTGCGTGGCTTCCTGATTTTAGCAAAAGTTTCCCCCTGTCAAGTGATGCCTCAAACGTGGAGGATACTGCGGTCCCTGGAATTTCTAGTGGAGAAGGAGAATCTTTCTTACTCGGCTGACGACCTTGGTTTCACCTACGACTTGCGTACTTCGGGCAAAGGTAGGTTTATCTTGACGGCTAAAACTGGGATGGAACCCCTAATCTTGGGTGTTGATGGTGCGAACGACAGAGGTTGGCTATCTAAATTTTTCTATGTTGAGAGATCTTCATTGGGTGAAGCCGGGGGTCTCCTTCCGGATCGCTTAAGGACTACAGGTCAGTGCAGCAGTTCTACCATGTATGTCCAATCTTTTTGCTTTGTTGTTGTGAGATGTTTCTGATTTGTTTGCTATTTTGTTTTTGCTTAGGTGAAACGAAGACGTTTTCTCTGGATTTCGGGTCGCATGCTGCCGAAAGGACCAATGCCGTCCTGGCACTGGATTCTGAAGCTCGACTGTTCTCTAATTTGAAGAAAGAACTCCAAGGTATGAATGCTAACTCTTGCTCTGCTAGTCCCATTCGTGTTGGTCTACGTCGCTCTATACGGAACATGTCTAAACTGATTACTCCATGTCAAGATACAACAATCATCTCTGTGGATAGTTCTGAGAAAGAGGAAGACACTATGAGTGAAACGGGGGATGTGAATGCCCACACCCTTCTTGAGGACTGTGCGTCTGCTCCAAAACCTGTGCTTGTATCTAAAGCTCCTAATTGTGTTGCAGGTGAATGCCATTTCTGGAGTTTCTTATTGCATCTGTCATTGTTTGTCTTTCTTTCCCTAATTGTAATCTCGAGCATATGTTATTTTTAGCTGCTTCGTCTTCGTCTGGAATGCGTAGACCATTGAACCCTTTGGATTTGTCGAGTCTGGTCTCCAAGAGAAGGAAGATGATTCCCCCACTGCCCCCAAGCAGTAGTTCGGCCTCCTTGGTCACATGCTCAATTCCACTGGCGCCTATCCTCTCCAAGCCTGCTTCACTCTCGCTTGAGTTCACACCAGACTTTTGCCGTCTAGACAATGCTTTGCGGATGAAGAACGAAATCTCTCAAATGCTGCTTCCTTCTGCTTCCTCTACCTTTGCGAGTTTTGACAACATCGAGATCCTTACTGCTTCTTCTGCATTAGCCTTCCAGGTTTACTAATTGCCCCCTTCTTGGATAATCCTTGCCTTGTGTAGGGGTGTCTTTTCTTCCTTTTATCTGCTTGCCCCTTGTTTTCAGGTGATCCAAGCCAACTTGGTAGCTGCCCAGCGTATTCGTCCCTTGGCTGATGAACTGGTGACTTCGAAGCAACGTGAAGAGGAAGCAAAGAAGAAAACTTCTGACCTTGCTCAAGAGAAGTTCGCCATGGAAGAGAAAATGCTGGTCCAAGACCGCCTGATTGGCGACTTGCAGGCAAGTTTAAAGGCCCGTGACGCTAGGATCAAAGACCTGGAAGAGTATGGCAGGAGAAAGAGACAAGAAGTGGTAGATGCTGCAGCATACTATGCCTGGCAAACCAAGAAGGACATCATGAAGTCCTATTTGGCTGGCGAAGCTGATAAATGGACTCCGGAAGATGACATCAATGCTTGGAATATGTACTTCGAAGGCGTGGAGCCTCCCGTAGGTGAAGATGACTTTGATCTGGGTCCCTGTGATACTGAGGCAACCTCAGTTCCATGATGCTTTTCCTTTCTTCATGTTTAGACATTTCCGCTCTTTTTGATACTTGCTTTTCTGACCACATCGCCTGGTAGATTTCCAGTGGTTCGGTGGTCACTATTTTGGACATCTTGTGGTTTATTCAGAACTCCTTATTGACAATCTGCGCGCTTTTTTGCTGATTGGTGTCTAAGACCTTTGTTATCATAATTGTCATGTTGTAGTGTTATGTGGTTTTGTGTTGTTTCGTGTTGTTTTTGTGTAGTTTTTGTGTAGTTTTGGCCAAAACTCGTAGGGATTCTCGGTCCGTGCCTCATATTTCATATATGAAGGACTCAAGTTTGCCCCACCTTCCCTTGTTGCGGGGTTTGTGTTAGCGGTCGTCGCTATGTGTATTGCATGTTGGTTGTCCCATGCACTGTCAAAATCCTGCATACAGACATATCGTCAAAATCTGGCCGTTGGCTTTTGGCCAACGGCCCTCCGATGCTTAAGTTAGTAATCGCCATAATGGTGAATTAATTAAACAAAACTTTATTTAAAATTTTAAAGAAAACAACCTTCCATGTTGTTACCCACGTTCGAGAATCGTAATACAAGAACTGCCTTATTTTATTTACACAAATACCTTTGACAGCGTCGACGAGACTGATAGCAACATTTATGATGAGAATTAAAACAAGATTTTAACACAGTTTGCTTAAAGTGTGGTAGAGAGTTGACGAATTGATGGGAGTTCAGCTGCGGGATTGATCCCTAGTGACAACAGGCTTGTTTATGTTACCGTCACGTCCGATCGGTTTGAAATCGTCGGCCAGTACCTGTTCAATGATTAGTTTGGCCGTTGGCTTGGGGCCAACGGCCCTCCGACGATCAAGTTAGTAATGGAATCCAAAGAAGAAAATGTTGACTATATTAAATAAACTAGAAGTGAAAAGGTTTTAGGTGTACCGCGTTCCAGCTCCTTGGTACTTGCTTACCGTCGACAGACTGTAGTCGGTATGCCCCCTGTCCGACAACATCCGTAATCTGGTATGGGCCTTCCCAATTGGGACTGAATTTTCCGCTTGCTTCGTTGCCGAAGGCCTTTCTGAGTACCCAATCGCCCTTCTTGAATATTTTGGCTCGAATATCCTTATTGTAGCTTCTTGCCACCCTTTGTTGGTAAGCCGCCATTCGTACTTTAGCTTTTTCTCTTAATTCGTCGATAGTGTCAAGATCATGCACCAGTTCTACATTGTTTGCTTCTTCAGTGATAAGTCCATACCTAGATGTTGGCACCTCGACTTCAACTGGAATGACAGCTTCGCATCCATGAACCAATGAGAAAGGTGTTTGTCCTGTAGCCTCTTTTGGTGTCGTCCTGTCTGCCCACAATATCAGGGGTAGCTCCTCAGCCCATCTCCCTTGTGCCTTTTCAAGCCGTTTCTTTAGATTTGAGATGATGATCTTGTTGCTTGATTCAGCTTGTCCGTTTGATTGTGGATAGCGAGGTGTCGACATCTCCAATTTGATGTTGTACCTTTCACAAAACCGTCTGGTTTTGGTGCTGATGAATTGTGATCCATTGTCGCACACGATCTCTGACGGTATGCCAAACCTGCTCAAAATGTTTCTTTTAATAAAAGATATTACCTGAGTGTCGCGGATTTGCCGGAATGGTTCCGCTTCGATCCATTTTGAGAAATAGTCCGTCATTGCCAACATGTAGACTTTCTGTCCGGGCGCTTCAGGCAGCTTCCCCACAATATCCATGCCCCATTTCATGAAAGGCCATGGAGAT